ACCACTACAGCAGGAACAAATGTTGTCAGAATATTGGGAATGTTGATGTCTTAGAACAAAGAACAGTACAGGAACAGGCCCTTCAGCCCACCAAGACTGCACCGACATTGGATGTCTTTATAAACTAAAAACCTTTTGCCTCTTTGCGAACTGTATCCCTCTATTCCCTGTCCATTCACACATCTGTCAATATGCTGCTTAAATATTGATATCCTTCAAAGGGAAACAAACGTCATATTAAAAAGAGAAAAATGTAATGATTTTCAATACCGTCTCTCAACCCAACATATTGATCTTATTCAAGTTCACAATGTTTAAATTAGTTATTGCTTTGACAAAAATGTGATGATGCAATATGTTAAAGATCAAAATACAAATAATTTAATGCAAGAATAATCAATCATTGTTTTCCCTTTTCCCTGTCCTTGCACAATCATAACATTTTAACACGTGTTTCTCGGTCTTTCTTTTGAAGATTTACATGGAAAAAGTTACACTCTTTATCGCTCAGACACTGATCACAATGAACTCAACCTGGTTTGTCATGATTATTCTAACCATCATTATTATCCTTCCGACACTGCTGCATGGAGCTGGAAATCAGGTCTTCAATATCAGAAGAGAAACATAGCTTCTGCTTTGAGGTCTCAGCCCATCAAAGTCGACAGGACTCACTTTGGGAATCGACTGGTCCCCACGATGTCAACGATTAATGGGCTGAAATTCAATTTGAGGATTGTCCCTGTCCTGTTTGAAGATGCAGGAGTTTATAAATGTTCACTGCAATCAAATACAATGGTGACCGTTACACTAATCACAGTTGAAGGTAGAGGTCGGAATGTCGATGCTGTTTTCAGTGATCAAGTGATTGTTTAAAATCTAAATGATTTTCTTGTTTACACAGTCACAGCAGAACCCTCTGATGCAGAGACTGAGGGAGGCTCCATTACCCTGACCTGCTCTGTCTCTAATGTCACTAAATCCATCAGGCTTGTTTGGATCAATAATGATGGTAAAATTGTTAAAGCAAAGACATTAAATAAGAGGAATAGAGAAGAGAAATCATTGAAATTGATTATTCAGAAATCTGAGAATGGAAGAGGGAAGTGGACATGTGTTTTGTTTCATCGAAACATGCCTCAGATTTCAGTCCCATACTATTTGGAGCTCAATGGTAAGTGACTGAGAGCTTGCTCTTAACACACAGGATCCAAAAGAAGTACTGTTACCACTTATTATTCTTAGCAGTAGGAACCCGTCCTCTAAATCTTGTGTATGAACCTCAACAATGGTGCAGCTTGTCAGAAACTTTCCCTGAGATAACACCTTACTGTCTGTAAGACAAATTGTATCATCAGTTGTTTGTCGCATTAATGTGAATTTGGAAAGTGGTGAACATTTGTATGAGAGTGGGAAACATTGGTGCATCACGTTCCTTCACGTTTTCAGTGAAAGTGATAATCTGCACCAAATGACTTCTTATCCTTGGGAATGTCTCTCCAAACTCAACATGTTCTGGGATCGTTTTCACACGATTTGCCAAT